TAGACAGTTCCTGAGAGTCCATCAAGAGAACAGATGATGACAACTGCCTACTGATATCAGTTACTCCACTTGCTTAAGTGGCAGAGATCTGTGCAGAAGATATAGACTTTCAGTCTTGCCATTGACCGATGTGAATGTCAGCATTTTGGTACAGAAGCTTTTTTTATTATTATTCTTTTTAAAAGCTAGGGAGTTACATGTGTGTTCAATGTTAACAGAGTCACGTCACAAAGTAAAAGATTTAAGGTTGCCCACACCACTTTAATACCCTGGCATTGTGTTCATGCACTGTGATGCAGCCTTTAATTACCTACTCCAGGGTGTCAAACTCTGCATCGCTGGGCTGGTCTCTGTGGGCCAGATCAGGACTGCGTACTGGAGCCAGTGCACAGGGCCAGTCCAGCCGGGCACCATATGCAATGCATGCCCTGTTCCTGGCTCCCTGTACTCTGTACAGCGTGTGTGCCCAGTCCAGCCCTTTGGACCACATGCAGCCCAAGCCGGTCCAGGATGCACAGTGCATGCAGTGTGCAGGCTGGACTGGTCATGCACACTGCATGAAGCAAAGGGGGTCAGTCTGGAGTGTGTGCTGCAGGTAGTGCCCTCCAGATTAAGCCTGCTGCTGGCTCCAGTGTGGTTTGAGCCAGCACTCGGGTCTGGGACAGGCATTGCATGCAAGTGTGTGTCTTTTGTGCTGCATGCAGCATCCACAGTGTGCACCAGAGTGGCTCCGCCTGCTGCACATTGCACACAGGGTCAGCCTGGGACCCACGGGCCAGGTCATAGGGCTCCATGGGCTGGATCCGGCCCATGGGGCATATGTTTGACACCCTTGACCTAATCAAATGCTGTTTGCTCCTAGTGTCCTTGCCTCATTCTGAACAACAAGGATGGTCCTCTGGAGGGGAATCAGGGTTGTGTCATGGAGGAGGCTGTTGACTCTCGGGTGCCTGGTTCATTCACTGCAGAAGGTGGGGTGGGGGATGCCAAAGAGTTTAGGGACCAGCAGAAAGGAAAAACATGGCATTGTAGTGAAGCAAGTTGAATATTGCCCTGGGAAGCTGAATGTACTACCTTTACTTCTACCACAGAGTTTCTGCATGATGCCAGGCAAGGCATTTAAGCCAAACTTTTCACAGATGGTCACAAATGATCTATTTCTTATTATTTTCTGGGTGGCCATATTTATACCCTGGGATCTGATTTGCAGACACCTTGAGTGCGTACATGTTTAACTGAATTCAATGCAATTTGAACATGGAAAGTAGTTTTAAAGCATCTGTCCTCTCAAAGAAAGTAACTCAAATGAATGTGGATACTTTTGACCTCAGTCACTCTGGGCTTTGGTTTGCCACCTGTGAAATGGGGATAATACATCCCCTTACCAGGCAGGAGCTTGGTACAACTGAATTTTTGAATCCCAGCTACTGCAAGGCACACCAGCGAGGAAATCCTGTGTTCAGAGCAGAGCTTAAATAATGTGGAGTAAATAAAGCCTCAAGCTACACACTGAACAATGAAAAGAAAACAAAGTATTGAATAGAGGCTCATTAATGAGCTCCGGTGATCCTATGCACTGAATAAAACGAGGGCCCTATGGAAAAAATAGTTTTTGCTCCTGTAGTTCAGATCACCTCATAATGCTAACATGCTGTGGGGGGGTTAAGGTTGCACAGACAACCTGAATTGTGCCTGAGTTTGCAACTTTAATGATGAGCGTTTCATGTCTAGATGCCATGGTGATAGCCCGACCATCCTTCTTGGAGCTTTGTGCAATCCTGGAGTAGTAACTATGGGAACGTGATAACCTCCTCCTCCAAACAGTTGAGGGTGCACAGGTGGATGTAACTAGTAGTAATTGGGTGAACTAGAAAAAGGAAATGCAGGATGGAGGATATCAGTGTGATGGAACCGCATCCACTCTGTCATGATTTATTAATAGTATGGGTTGACCAGGTTATTGGGCTGTTTGCTGGATGAACGCATCTCATTAGCGAAGAAGCCGTTCTCGGGGGAAAAACAATCGGGAAGTGAGGGAATGGCTCGTGATAAGCAGTACGTCAGCAAACACGGGAGGTACATCAGCTTTTATCTGTGAACTGTTAGCTGCAAAATTCTGTGTCCTGTACAGCAGACCGACAAAGCCAGTTTTGTCCAGAAGGAACAATGTCTCAAAATGCAAAAAGAACAAAAGAACAATTTAGAAAGGCTTTAAAAAAAATGCTTTCTCTTTCTTGCAGGGTCAGGAAGGGAGGAGATGCTTTCAGGACTGACTGTTGGGTCTAAAGACATTTGGCCTATCTGGTTTAACATCCCAGGGTGGCAAGCCTTAAAGCTCAGCAAACATGCATGTAGGCTTTTTATTGATTTTAAAATGGTTTTGTCTCCCTACACTCTTTGTTCCTAGTGTTAAATAAATAATACTTTGGCTTTAGGAAAATCCAACTACTGGTCAGACTCCCAAAAGCAGGTGTCTAGACTCAGTCAGACTTGCTGGATGAGCATGAGCAGGGTACACTGGTGGGTAGTAGCTAATTTAAAAGCAGGACATCTGCAGAATATCACCCCATGGGAGATAAAGGCATGAGGGCTAAGATCTGAGGGGTGTATTCAGGGAGCAGAGGCAGAGGTGCAGCTACCCTGGTCACTGTGGCTTAAGCTTCCTAGCAGGAAGTTCTGCTGGACTATGCAGCACTTTGTCCCCAGGAAAGTGTTTGAAGCCTTCTCACTTGAGAAACTGAAAGGCAGGTTGGACAACACTGAAGAATGTGCTGTAGGGAACCATCCTACACTAGTCTCTGGGGATGAGCTACATAAGCCAGCAGATCTTTTGCATCTAGTAGAAATAAACCAGCAAATCTTTTTCCTAGGGAATCCTAGGGCATGATTCTCGTAGCCTTGCTTCCAGTGCTCCGCTTTCTCCATGTCCGTGGAAATCCTACTGACATGACTAAGGACTTGGAGCATGGTAGACTAGAGCAGAGAGAGTAAGGGCCTTGTTACACCTTATGCTGTAAACCGTGCAAATGTTAATCGGCTTAGTGTTGATCAGCTTAGTAGAGTGGTCACACTTTAAGGCAAAAAATCTTGCCTGACTGTCCCCCACCTGCACAGTTGTGACTTGCCCCTAGAGGCTTGGTGAGCAGGGGACAGACAAGGAGCTAGGGGCAGAACTGGTTTGCTGCTTCCGCAGGCAGAGCAAGAGCCTTAGCCCTGGAGCTGTACTGAAACTTTCATCAAGGTGAAATAGTTGATGTCTGTGTGCTTGATTTTATTTTATTTTATTTTATTTTATTGTCCTCCCCTCCCACCGCCACATTCCCAGCCACACTTTGCCAAGCCAGAAACTCATGTGGTCCAAGTATTACTTTAACCAAAAAGATCCAGATTCATTTTCTTTGAACAGAGTTTAGTCTTGTGTTTGCTGGACTTTTTTTTTTTTTGGGTTCCCCCATCTTCCCTGTTCTCAATTTAGGGTTGTTCTTCTCTGGGAGATGTGTTATCTTTGTAAAAATGAACTTTGCTTTCTTCAAGTTTCCTGTTTAATGGCAAAGAATGGGAATAGAAGAAAGTGTTACTGATTTTGGAAAGAGCCTCCACTCTGGCTGCCCCTCCTTCTTTCTGCGGGGCACAGAGCCAGACCTGGGAATGGTGCTGAGCTGCTGCTGTGGCTCCTGTTTCCCTGGGGCAGCAGGTGGCCGGAGGTTTGGGACCCTGCTCACAGTAGTGCGATGCCCAGGCTGTGGCCTGACAGCTGGCAGAGTGGGGAGGATGCAAGCTGGGCTGTCTGGCAGGGGCCCAGGGCTCCTGCTGCCACTTCACCCATGGGTGGAGGGCACGGAGCAGGGGGAGCCCTGGGAGGTGGGAGCTCTGCACACAGCACTGCGGTGCTCGCTGTTGTCAGCAGGCAGAATGAGTTGGTCCAGGTGGCAGTGGGAGGAACCATGGGCATCGGGCGCTCCGGGGCCTGTGGTCACTCTGCCCAGCGTGCTGTGGAGCGAGGCTCCTTGCCTGGCTTTGCTGCATCTTTGCCCTGACTCAGGAGGGGCCAATGCATCCTGGGATGCTGGAGGACTTCAACTGGGCAGCATAGCTGTAGGAAGTGGCCACACTTCAGGAGCAAAATTAGGTGGATTAGAGATAATCCTGCCCTGGAGTGGTGTAACCTTAAACTAAATAATGAGTGCTTTAAGCCGCTTAAAGGTGTTAGCATGCAAGCCAGTCCAGGGGTTAAGAGCTCCAGAAGCTGCTTAAAATTGCCGTGCAACAAGGCCCGAAGAGAGCTGAACTGAGATGGGTCCTGAAGGTCCAAGAGGGGAATCCTATGGATCTTAGATGGGGCCTGTTTTCTCCTTGGTGCACATATCTGGAACGCATGTTCCTAGGTATGGGAAATTCATGTGTGTACCATCAGAAGAAGAAACCCCTCCCCCCCCCTTGTGTTTATTCTTATTTAACACTGTTTACACAGAAAATGGAGAAACACATCTCTAACCATCGGGTGCTATTTAAAATGATGTCCCCGTGCTCTGCACAGCTCATTCTGTAAACATCAACTCCACCATGTGGCCTTGGGGTGCTAATGCTGCTCGGAGCCGTGTCCACTCCCGTGCTGCTGGGAGCACGCTGCAGTTGTTATGTTAAAAAGCCTTTTGTGAAGGCTGCTAGGGTTGTAAATTATCCATGCACAATGTTGGGGGGGGGGAGAAACCCCCTCCCTACGGTTGTAGCTGAAACCAGAAGATGTCTTGCTACCTAATTGCCTTAAAATGTGTGGGCTTGAATGAAGCTTCTTAATGAATAATAGACAAATGCATAAATCACAAACCCCAAGCACCCAAATGGTGAAATGCACACTAATGAAGACTCTCTGGGTTCTTCAATGATGGCAGGTGTAGAGTTGATGTGTAAAATGTCGTGCGTCTAACAGGTTTAGAATGATATTTTTATTAAAAGAAGCAGGTATTCAATTTATTGCCCTTGAATTCTCTTTCTTGTAGTGCACAGCAAGTCCTCCTGTATAATACTGCAGGCTGCAGTCTCACAGCAGTTCCCGCTATGACTCTTGCCTCGAAGAAGAGCAACAATAGAGACCAATTACCCTCTATCTCCACTCTTATTGCAATATGCCTGGGAAAAAATAGTGTGGTGCTCTCCATCCCCCCTTTCTCCCCCCTTTTCAATTTCAAATCCTAACCCTGGCCACTAGTACCATTTGCGGATTTGAACTTGCAGGCTTTGTGTGCGGTATTATCTGCAGATTCACCTGGTACTGATCCAATGAACCAACGCAATCTTACAAAGCCGACGGGAAGAGTGTACAGTTTTCTTTGTAATAAATCATATGCCATGAAAAAGGATTTCTTTAACTCCTTTGCTCCATTATTCTCCGTATCTCATCTTGTGGAAACATGGCTGTTAGTGAGAGACTCAGAAGCTATGCAAGAGGGGGAGGGAAGGAAAAGGTGCGGAAAGGGGAATCGAAATCAAGCCCAAGACAAGTCATAGGTCATGGAAATGTCGATAGTTTGGAGATTCTTCTAAGGACAGTAAGCTGCTTTAAAAATACAACCCAGCACAAGCCATGTTATCATTCATGATTCAACACTAGCAAAGAACAAGGAGGGTTTGAGGTACCTAAACAATTAATATTTGGAACCAGGGGTGAATGAACCCCAGTCGGTGAAGAGGGCTTCATTCAGATAATTGCTTAAGCATTTGAGTGCTAGCCTGAACTTTCTTGATGTGCTCAGTTCGGCCTGTAATGTTTGGAGCTCTTGCTTTCTTCCAAATGGAGGTGGAGGAGTGCCACAGCATTTTTCACCTGGCTTCCATTTCAGGTTAGAAAATTATTTGATTTGACCAAATTGGGAATTTAAGAGAGAGACTGGAGAACACTTGTAGAACACGAATTCATAATCCTAATCTCAAACCACTCCAGCAGAAACCTGTTACTAACAGTAGTATTTATCCAGTCCAGGAACAAGGACATTCCAAGTGATCTACATATCCAATGAAATCTAAGTAATGTCATGTGAATTTCAAATGCTGGCTATTGGCAATGATTTTAAATGAAGGTAAAATGGATGATGGTCCTTAGTTGCCTTTTGTTAAGAAACATGACAAAAAGACAGCAAATCTGTTGATTTCCATAGGCTAGGGACAGAAGTTGCACATAGAATCATAGAAGTAGGGTTGGAAAGGACCTTGTAGGTCTTCAAGTCCGACCCCCTGCCTGGGCAGGAGGAAAACTGGGTTCAAATGACCCCAGCCAGGTGGTCATCGAGCCGTTTCTTAAAGACCCCCAGGGTAGGAGCCAGCACCACTTCCCTTGGAAGTTGGTTCCAGATCCTAGCCGCCCTGACTGTGAAGTAGTTCTTACGGATGTCTAATCT